GGGCAGCACCGTGGGCTGGGGACATCTTGCTCTGCTCTCCAAGGCCTCCAGGTTCCAGGCCTGTCGGTTCCATCTCCCCAGGCAGACTCTCAACCCACAGAGCGCCCACCTACCATGACCTTCCTTTCTTCTTGCTTTTGTTTACTATTAGCATTCAGGCCCCTTGATTTGTGACGCTCTCACCACCCTTCAGCCAAGGCTTTCTTAGTGTCCCTAATGGATCTTTGCTTAGAATGAGCTGCTGTTGTCTGCAGCCCTCCCCAGAACCGCAGTGGTTCCGAGGCCCCTGCTCTTGGGGACCGGAGCGCCACCGTCCTCACCTTCTGTCTGTCTCCCCTGCAGCAGTGTTTATCTGTGCATCTGCATGTCGGTGTCACATTTCCTACTGTCAGGGTCCCCCACTCAGGAAAAGCAGGACCCCACATTTAGAGCAGGTCAGCCTGCCCTCCTTGACAATAGTCGGCTGCTTTTCCTAGGTTTTGTACTAATATTTTTTACCAAAATCCTCTGACAAGAAAACTTCAAATATAACAGAGAGTCGTGGAAGCCTGTGTTCTGCTGCTGTGGTGTGTCACCAAGCCCCTGGGTCACTGTCCCTGCCTTGGCTGCCTCTTCTGGCTCCCATTGTGGTCCTGAGCCCTGAACTCAGCAGAGGGACCTGCCGACGGGGGCCTGGGGTGTGTGGGCAGGACCCTGACACCCTGCCCCTGGTGACGTGGAATCTGGGAGGCCTGGCGGGGAAGGGAGCCGGAGAGGCGTGGTGGCCGGGGCCTTCCCCCTCCCCCTGCTCAGGCGCCAGCCCTGCAGTCCGTGTCCAGACCGCGGCGCAGCGTCCAGTCCAGGCTCACCAAGCCTACGGTCCTGACCTGGACTCGCTAAGATGCCCGTCAGCAACTTAGCGCTGGCCTCCAGCGGGGTCATGATGCTGCTGGGTGTGGGCCTGGGACAGCTGAAGCTGAGTTTCCGCTGGCCCAACGCGGTGCCACCCCAGCACACAGCAGACTGGAGAGGGAGGGGCCCACACGTGGCCGTGCAGTCCCTTCCCTCAGGCTGGTCCTCAGGGTTCCGGGACCCTGGCTGACACCTCAGCGGCAGGAGGCTGTGCTGTCCTGAGAGCCCACAGTGGACACTGGGCCACTTCCGTCCTCCCTCTGAAATGCCCTGAGCCAAGACTAAATTTTTCTTTTATCAAAACACAATGCACGTAATGTAACAGCCACCATTTCAAAGCACTATGCATTTAAAGCAGCCGTCACTGCTGGCCGATCTCCTGTTTCCACCACTCCAAAAGAAACCCCAGTCAGCCCAGTTTTCCTCCCTGTGCCACCCCTGGAAGCCACGAATCTGCTTTTCGTCTCCAAGGTTTGAAAACTCTGGGCATTTCATATGATGGGAGCCACGCAATGTGCGGCCTTCTGTGATTAGCTTTGTTTAATTTCCATAAAGTCCATCTGCTTCCTAGAATGTGATGGCATTTCACCCCTCTTCTGGCCGAGCAGTTCTCCACTGTGCGCACAGACCGCAGTTTGTCTGTCCGCTCTCCGCTGTCTCCATCTTTGACTGCTTCGAATGCTATGGGCTTGTGTGAGGTTCTCTGCTGGCAGAGGTCTGCACTTCTCTTCCAGCGCCTCATGGCTCAGATGTTGCTGGGATACCAAGCAACTCTGTGTGTGGCATTTCGAGGAGCTGCCAGACTGTTTTCCAAGACAGCCGCCACGGTCTGCATTCACACTGGCGCCCTGTGCGGGCCCTGGGTCCCCTCGGCCTGGGTGCAGCCCTGCGTGCCTTAGTGCCCTGAACTCGGAATCCCACTGCCGAACTTCACCACTCAATTCCGCACAGCAGCTGTGCAGACCGGCTTTGCACACTCAGCCCCCTGACAGGCACCCTCGGGCCTGGGCTGCATGGCTGCTGCCACGTCCTTCTGGCCGACCACGTGGATCTTGGAGCCCTGGCCTGGCTGCCGAGCTAGAAGCAGCGCTCAAGTGTATCCAGGCCGTCTGCCAGGAGGTGCTGCCAAGCCTGTGTCTGCTGTGCATCCCTCTGCGGGGCCCAGGGCTACCTGGCAGGGCCTGGCGCGGGTCCTGCAGCTGTCTGGGGCGTGAGGCTGCCAATGACAGGTAGACTCTGGCCGCGTGCCCGTGAGGGCTGGCACAGAGCCCTCTGATCGCACCTGCTGTTCTTCTCTGAGGAGGGAGGGCCTGGGGCAGGTGTCTGGCAGCAGGGGAGAGAGGCTGAGGCAGGGTGGGAAGAGCCTGCTCACCCGGAGTGCACTTGTGGGGAGGAAGAGAACCAGCTGTGCTTGCAGTACGGGCCGGTGGAAGGAGGGCTGGCTCTGCACCAGCATAGAGGGAGCGGCGGGGTCCCTAGGAGCCCTGAGCCAGCTCCATGTGCCCGGCTCAGCTGTGTCCTGGCCTTGCACACCTTTGGCACAGTGAATAGTTACTGCACCAGGCTGGGTGCTGCTTTCCTGGACCCAGGCGTGCAGCGGTGAGCAAAGCCAGCAGTGCCTTCTGCTCTGTGCAGATGGGAGCTGAGCCGACGGTCAGGCCAGGCTTCTCAGGTCACCACCAGGTGCCCAGAGGGGTCAGCTGGGGGGCAGGGAGCTCTCAGAGGGCTGAGGGGCAAAAAGAGGGTGTTTCACGGACAGCTCCGCAGGTGCACAGCCTGAGGCAGCAGAGTGGCGTTGGTCCAGGAGGAAGCGTGTGTGTGTGTGTGTGTGTGTGTGTGTGTGTGTGTGTGTGTGTGTGTCTGCGGGTGGGAGACAGAGGGGAGGTGGGCACAGAGGAGGGTAAAGCATCAGATAACAAGGCAATAGATTCTCCAACTAAAAACCTGTTTCCTTCCCATCCCACACAGGGCTGTTAGATCTCCCACGTGCTCGAGGGGATTTTGTGTGGGTTGAATGGCCACGTGGCTCTGGTTTCAGGGGTGCAGGAGGCCATCCCAGGACCAGGCTCAGCTTGTGGGTTGGTGAAGATGTCACAGTCAGTCCTTGATGAGCTTAACGGTGGGCGGACGCCAAATCTGGGGAGAGGGTGTTAGTCACTTCTCATCACTGGGAAACACACCTGAACCACAACTCAAAGGATTGAGGTTTAATTAGCTCATGGTTCAGGTGATTCAGTTCATGGTCAGCAGCTCCGAGGCAGGAGCATCATGGCGGAAGGGCCTGGGGGAGCAGAGCTGCTCAGTTCATGGTGGACCAGGAAGCACGGGAGGAGAGCAGGGCCAGAGAGGAGGGGGCTGGGGACCAGATACAGTTCCCGAGGTCACGCCTCCATGACCCAGGAGTGTGCTCCCCCAGGTCCCGGGGTGGCTCCCAAGCAGGCAAGTTGACTCTGTACCTTGCATGTCCCAAGGGTGTTGGGGGCAGGAAGGAGGGCCACCAGGAGGGCAGCAGGGGCGCGTGTCCTTCAGGCACTGGTTCAGGCCCCTGAAGGCCACTGTAACCTTGTGTGTAATGGAACCACCTGCGGTCCCGTGTTTCCTTCTGTATACCAGGGAAAAGACCCTGCTTTCTGCTGGCGTAGCTCCACCTGCTCTCCTGCGCTGGATGCATGGACATCACTGGCCTGGAGCCTGGGGCCCAGGTGGTCCAAAGCTCAGGCATGGAATCGTCTGGGCAGAGGGCTGTGAGGCAGGTTCCTGGGTCTGATCTCAGACCTCCTGAATCAGAGCTCATTACTTTCCGGTGGGGTGGTGCAGGGCTGGGTAGGTAAGCAGCATCTTCAGCAAGTACTCCGGGGTGCATAAGAACTGTCCCTGCCTCCCAGGGCACACACCTGGTGCTTAAAACAAGCATACACTGGGTGCTTAAAACAACAGAACACATTCTCTACCCATCGGGGCCAGCAGCCCCAAGTCCCATCCCTGGGCTGAAACCAGGGGCCTGCAGACTTGGGTCCCATCCCTAAGTCGGCTGCTGCAGCTTCCTCTGCTGCTCCATACCCTGCCTCTGCCTCCCGGGCCTCCCTGCCTTCTCCTTGGTCTGTGCTGCCCCCTCCCAGGAGGACACCTGCATTTAGGGCCCGGATAATCTCTGCACCTCAGGATGCTTCACTCAGTCCTGTTGGCAGGCCCTCTTCCCTAAGAGGCAACACTCACAAGCTCCAGAGGTCAGGGCCCCGGGCTCACCTCCCAGCTGGCCAAACACCCCTGCTCAGAAGCTGTGGATTCGGTCCACATCCCTGGGGTGGGGGAGTTACTCACCTCTGAGATCAGAAGCCGCTTCGGCTGCAGAGTGGTGACCGCTGACCTCACCGAAGGCTGCCTGTGTCGCCCTGTGGGGACCTCATCTCTGCCCAAACCCGACCAGCCAGGCCCTCTCATTATCTGCATTTACAGATGAGGAAATGAAGGGGCAGGGGTTAGATCACTTGCCTGAGGAGATAGCTAATTGCTGGTGGCCCAGCCTTCACCTGGCACATATTCCTGCCCCCCCAGGAATGTGGAACCAGACTTTCCTGAAAGGAGAGGAGACCACTCGAGCCACTGCCCACCTGCTCCAGGTCGCCCTCAAAGTGATTCCTCGGTGATTTCTGCCTCAACAAAGCCTTCTCCCCAGGAGGGGTGGTGCCCACCTACAAGCTCCTGCCCAGCCTGTAGTGACTTAGTGTGATCCTGTCTCAAAATACAGACCGGGGGCGGGGGAAGGCGGGGTGTAGTTCAGTGTGAAGACTTTGGGTTCAATCTCCAGTACCGAAAAGAAGAACACAGCTTCTCATCTCAGCTAGGGGCCAGTGCCAGGTGTTGGCCTTCAGAGCTGGGGGCCCCAGAGGCTGTGGGTTTCTGGGCTGACGGCAGGGATGGCCCCGCAGGCTCCCAGCCTCCTGTCTGCAGAGGTGGCGGCAGGTGGGGCACCGTGGGCGTGTGTTTGACCTGGCAGTGACTGCAGCAGGGCCCGGGGCTGCTGGTGCCTGCTCCGCCTCCCTCCCGCAGCCTCATAGCTCCTTCCCAGGGGTGCGGGTCCCAGAGCCACCTTCCTCCCTCGAGTGGTCATGGCGGCCCAGGCGGCAGGCGTGTGCAGGCAGAGGGCGGCTGCTGAAGGGCTCGGCTCCTACCAGAATGCAGTGAAGTGCTTGGGCCAGGACTTCGAGGTGCTGAGGCGGCAGTGCCTGGACTCTGGGGTGCTGTTTAAGGATCCGGAGTTCCCAGCATGTCCATCAGCGTTGGGCTACAAGGAGCTGGGACCCGGCTCCCCCCAGACTCAAGGCATCGTGTGGAAGCGGCCCACGGTGAGGAGAAGGGGGGGCTTGAGTGAGGGCCACGCAGGGCGGGGGCCTGCAAGACTGTGGGATCCCCTTGCAGACAGAATGGGGACTCGGTGACTCCTCGCTGGGTGAACAGAAGGAGGAGAAAGTCCCTAGGTACCTTGCTGTGCCCCGCAGAGCCACAGGGCATGGGCTGCTTTGGGTGTCGCCGGAAGTGCAGGTCAGACAGCGATGGTATCAGGGCCACGTGCGTGCTGGACACGGGGCTTCCCGGTACAGGTCACGGCCCACGCCGGTTCCTCCCCTGTGTACATAGGGTGTCGTGTGCACAGGCAGGCCACACTATCACATTGTTATCGCCTTCTCTTTCTCCTACTTCCCCACCCCACTCCGCACCCACACAGTACACAGGTGACAGAGCCAGGTCTCGCGGGGCCTGGGCTGGTCCTGGGCTGAGCCACTCCAGGTGGGTCTCCACTCCTGGGGCTCAGAGTCCCAGAAACGTGCGTTTCTGCCCAGGACATGGCCTCCCCGGCCTCTTCCAGACCTGGGCCAGAGCTCGCCATGTCTCCTCTCTGGCCACCCGGCCACCCCAACGCCTTGGGACTCTGGCTAGTCCAATTCTTCCAGGAGCTGTGTCCCAGTCCTCAGTTCATCGTTGGTGGAGCCACACGCACAGACGTCCGCCAGGGCGATCTCGGTGAGTCACGGGAGTCCTGTTTGCTGTGGGCACGGGCGGTGGGTGTGGTGAGCAGTGGCCTAGGCAGTGGCTGGACCTGGCTGCCGAAGAAGGCTTTTTTGTGAGACTGAAGGCCAGGATGGCAGGAGACAGCTGCCCCTTCTGCTGGGGGCAGCCAGGGTTCCACACATAGTGATAACACGCCACGCCGTCTCCTGTGGCAGACGCGGTTCCCTGCAGCTTGGCTGCATCTGTATGGCTTGGACCGCCAGGCAGGTCCTTTGCAGTTAGCAACAAACGAAGGTCTCCTCTCTGGCCTCCCTTCTGTGGGTGGGGCACTAGGAATCAGAGCCGATCAGCAGTGGAGTGTGTGGCCCTGCGCCCAGCCCTCCCTGGGTGCCATGTCCAGCACCAGAGCAATGCACAGGCAAACCCTCCGCAGCCTCTCAGACCCTGTGGAGCTCAGTCAGGTGCGACTGCACCCTGGCTCTGTGGGTTCCAGTCTCCGTGGTCTGAGACTCAGGCTTTCCTGGATGGCAGATTCGCTTTTGCTCCGGAAGCCTCAGGGGTGAGACAGCTCTTATAATACGGACAGCCCAGTACTGAAGTGAAACCGCTGTCCAGTGACAGCTGCAGTACGGACCGGGAGAGAGAGGCCGAGCAGACGCAAACCCTGCTCGTGGAAACCAGCAGAACAAAGACCCCGGCACCCACGCCAGCCCGTAGACTTCTGTTCTCCACAGCTCCCCTCCTGCTTCCTCCTTGTTCCAGCCAGGAAAACCTTTCTCCTCAGCTACTGGGAACCATCATGAGTCTGAAAATAGCAGGGCATTTTCTTCTGAACGCTTCCCATGCTGTCATCTTTAATGAGCCCGCAAATCCACCTCTGCCAGAGCTCAGACTGGGTGGAGCAGGGCCATTAAGCCCTGCAAGCATTTGGGGTGCTGCACCCCCAGCCACAGCCTGCCCTGGCCTGGTGGGAGGGCCTGGCTGCTCTGGGGTGAGTGAGTGAGGGCCCATTGGTGTCACCCAGCTCAGCCCGGCTCAGGTGCCGGTCACAGTGCTGCAAGGCTGCTGTGACTTCGGACAGGTTCTGTCTCACCTTCTGGAGGCAGGTGTGCAGGCTCCTGAGGAGGCTGGTGCATTGTCATGGAGACTGTGAGGCGGTGTGAAGTGGAGCCCTGGGCTCTGGGACCAGCTGAGGTTCGCATGTGCGGCGGGCAGAGTAGAGGAGCTGAGCGGGCAGAAAGGCAGGCGCCCGTGCTCTGCTGCAGCCTTGGAGAGGGAGGCGGCTGCCCTGGTCCAGCGGCTGTGTGGCCCGCAGGTGGGGCCAGGTGAGGTGGTCTGAGGAGTCGCGGTGTGGTGGTGAGGGCCGCCTGCTGCCAGCTTTCAGGGCCACTGCAGGATGAGGGACAGGCAGGCCCCTCTAGGATGTGCTTTTAAAACATCGTGTGGTTTTTAACAGTTGACCTAAGTAATGAGGAAGATGCCTATTTCATAGAGTTCTATTTTTATTATTTTGAATATACATTGTTGAGACCTGAAAACAACAGAAAGTGTGCAGCGGAGGAAGTGCTGTCCCCTCTGCCCCACCCGGCTGCTGAGCTGTCCGAAGCTCTTCCTCTGCTTCTCTGTGCCAATCCCAGCCAATGCCCACGTGCGTGTTCTGGCTCCCGCCTTTCTGGGGCCAGGGCTCCATCCACACCGCCAGTCTCCACTGCCCTGTGCGCCTGTTCACCCAGGAGAGCCCGAGAGCCTTCCGTCTGGCTGTGCAAAGGCCGTGGTTCTTTGGAACCGCTCAGGTCCCTTGTGTTGTGTGGACAGATCTCCAGCAAGGCTCCCTGGTCCCCGTGTGAGGCTGCTGGCTACTCAGGAGGGCGGAGTGCTGAGCACCCCCTCTGCTGTCCCTGCTCAGCCAGCCTGCGTCCCAGACCGATGGGCCCTCGGCTCTGTGCTCACACAGAGCCCAGCAGCCGGCTTTCCTTGGAGACAGAAAACAAAGGTGGGGAGGCCAAATGCCAGTCCTGCTGCCCCAGCTGATTCTACCACCGCTGGGACTTTTCTGGGGCGCCCAGGCCCTGTGGGGGCACAGTGCTCTTTGCCTCCGTACAAGCGATGCAACCAGAGTCCTCTGATAAAACGGTCCTGAGAGCCTGCCTGGTCAGGCCCTGCCCACGGGAAGACACGATCTGCGCTGCCGGGAGAATCAGTGGCCACAAGCCCCACCGAAGGCCCGCTCCAGGCCAGGCCCCGGGCTCTGTCCTGTAGCTGAGCAGAAAGCAGCCATCTGGGCCTCCTGGAGATGGCATCGTCCTCAGGACAGGCCGTGTGCTGGCTCTGGGGACGTCACTGACCAAGAGGAGGTGGAGATGGCTGGAGCTGGGGCAGCCCTGGCCTTTCCTGCCCTATACCCCTGCAATGCGCCCACAGGTCAACCCTACCATCCCGCCCCAGAGACAGCCAGTGTCTGCAGTACAGAGGCCACAGGAAAAACCCAGCTCACTGGGGTGGGACCCGAGGTGACAGATGGAGACAAAGCCCCCTCCTGGCCTCTGCAGCACTGCTCTCTCCATGCCGTCCCTTGCCCCGTGAGCTCTGTCACCTCCCCTTGCTCTCTGTGCTGTTTCCAGTGGCCATGGGCCACTGTGCACCCCATGCAAGGCCCACGCACGGTCTGTCCCACAGAGCTCCCTCTACCCACGGTCACCTTGTGAGGTCACACTGGGGTCCAGCCTCGTGCTGTTCCCTGGGGTCCTCTACTTGCTCTGCCCCTTCCTCCTGCCTGCCTCAAGACCCACTCTGTGCCCTCTGTGGGCCCGAGGATGGCTATGTGGTTGCTGCCGGCCACCTGGCCTAAGCCTTGGTCTCTGACCCTCCGGCCGTGGCCCCAGCCTCTGCCCTGTAGGGAGGCAGGGGCCGCCGCACTCCGTTGTACCTGTGCTGGTCTTGGGGGCCAGGCCGTGGCGGGGCCACTGGGCTTCCTGCTCCTGCCCCTCATCCTACTTGTTCTCTGGCATTCACCGTGTCCTGCTGTGCCCTTATTGTGCCTGTCTTCCTCACTAAGGTGAGCCCCGTTACGTCTGGGACTTACTTTCTCCTGGTTGTATCTTCAGGGCCCTGTGTCATCCTTGGCACAGGCAGATGCTCGGTGAGTACTTGTAGGAGGAGACACAGGAATTCTCAGCAGATTCCCAGCTGTTTCAGAGAAGCCAGAAGTCTAGATTTTTACAGGCAGGCTCCTCGTTTGAACATCCAAGCCACCCACAGGCCAGGGCTGTGCCCACGGAGCAGGGTGACCCTGCAAGCGCCCGCTGCTGCCGCCCCCACCCTCCAGTCCCATCTCCCCAGGCTCCTGCTGGCTGCCACCTGCTCCCAGGAGGAACACTGACGCCGTGAACGTGGCTGAACCCCTCCGGCACCTAGAGTCTTACTGTTTCCCCCTCTGCTCTCATGTCTGTGCCTAAGCTGCCCAGCGTGCAGACGCTGGGCTCTGTCCCAGGCCCTGGCCGAGCGCACTTCACCCCACCTCGGGGTGCAGGGGGTTGGAGGGCGAGACCTCGTCACCTGCCTACTGTTGGATGTTCTTGGAGGACCCTGTGTCCATTGGGAAGCCACAGGGTCCCCACACGGGCTGGGGGCACTGTGCTCTCTGCAGCCATCATCGGGGCATCCAGCACGCACAGTGCTGGACCCTGGCTGGCACTGACTGAGCCTCACGCCCACCTTTCCACTCTCCCAGGCCCTGTCTCTGGAGTTTGGTCTTCTTCTCCCTTCCAAGGGCACGGTAATTAAACCCTCCATTCTGAGCCCCTTGCCCTGCAGATGGCGCTGAGATGTGTTTACAGAGCCACCAACCTGTTTACTTGGTGATTTCCCTTCTGGTGAATCAATTCCAGTCCTAGAATCCACTAAGAAAAAATTCCCTCCAAATAGCATTAGGTTCTGACGTAAGGCTGGGCCTGGGGCTGGGCAGGAGGTCCCAAGGCAGTTTCCTGCTGTCGAGAGTAATTTCTTCTCAACAGCAGGAATCAGACGTGGATTGGCTGGCAGTGTTTCGTGCACAATTCTGAGAAACTGAAAAATCTAAGTCCCTCAGTGGCAAAGTTTTCTTTCTTTTTTCTGTTTTCTCTCCACTTCTCTGATTCCAAGATGGCCTTTGACCGCTCCTACTCAGTCCTGTTTTTGGAACTTGTTAACTCTCTGGGGCCCCCTGCAGCTCTGGGAAGCCCACAGGGGCCCCCTAGCCCAGGACTGTCCTTGGGCAGATTTGCTGTTACTGACTGCCTGCGTCAGCCCTTGGATCCGGGGTTCCCTCCTGGGTCGCCATGGGAACCGGGAGCAGCTTGCCTGGTGACTGTGAGGGTGGGGATGGCAGGGGTGTATTATTTCCCAGACACCCTCATGACTGAGGCCGGCTGGCCACGGAAGGAGCTGCAACAATGCAAGCCCCTGTTCCTTAGCAGTTTGCTGGAAAGGCTGGAGGAGCATATTCCCTTGAAAAATGGTACAGGAAATGGCGGGGCTATTTTCTTTCCTCCCACTGCACTTACATCATCCCCACAGCTGTTGCCATGCCTCGAGAGTGAGCTGACACTGGCCCAGATGGCGGGTGGCAGCCTCACCCTCTGCTGACCGTGCAGCGCCCCTTAGTTTCCCCAAGGGTCTGTCCCTGGTGCCCAGAGCTCCCTCTTTCCAGGAACTGGTTGGTCCCAGTGCTGTGGCCGTCCCCTCTTCTCCAGGTGCCACTTCGCCCTGCCCAGCTCTCTGAGGTTGGGCGGATCCCGGTGTCCCTCCCCCTGGCTCACAACGCCCCACCTGGGACCCGGTGCCACTGTCCCATCCATTCATGTCACCATGACCCTGCAGACTGGGTGCCACACGCAGCAGAGACCCAGGCTCTTAGGCTCCAGAGGCCAAGAGATACCACAGATTGGGGGGTCTGCGGCACTCTTGGGCTCTGTTCCCCCAGTTCTGCTGCACTGGGGATCAAGTTCCAACTGGACTGACTGAGGGGACACTGC